GGCCCACATGAAATCTTAGTAGATGCCCCTTTAGAGAGGGGAGAACCTTATTTTCGATGCTGCTAAAGGCTTTAGGGCATAGGGCATAGGATTTTTGATGTTGAGGTCGTTCCAATGGAGCAAATTCTATTTGTTATGCCTTTTGTTTTGGCTAAGAATTCGGTTGCAACTTTTTTTTTTCTTTTTTATGAGAGAATGTTGTTTATATCAAACAAATGGTTGCCGAAACAATAATGGCTCAAACATAAATCATGATCTACCATAGTTGTTACAAAATGACAAAATATGCATGTGATGTTGACACATAAAAAACTATCGCTCTACAGATAGAACATAGAATATGCTAGTAATGTTGACGTACTAAAAGAGCATATTCATATTACAAGAAAAAATTGATAAATCAAAGTTAAGGACGTTTTAAAACTTAAAGATTAAAGTAAGATTTGAGTAAAATCTGAGAGCATTGATGAGATTAATTTGTGATTTTATCTTGCGGATGTTTTGTTTTGTTTTGTTTTTTTTTTTGCTCGAAGGATTAAATTCGTATTTGACACTAAAAGCATCTTTCTAGAGAACAGAGAGAGAACCTAGATGGAGGTAAAAGAAAGAGCATACTTATTAGTCCCTTTCCTTCCCTGCCAATTTGCCATGTTTTGAGTTTGACAAGTTTTTAGGCGCGTTTGTAACTCGTTTTAAAATAATTTTATTTTTTGTATGAAAATGAAAATAAAAACGTTTTTAATCTCAAACAGAAATCACTTTTAAAAATGTGTATGACAGTTTTATCAAGAGATCATTTTTAGTATAAAAAACTCATTAATGTCTCTCTTTCTCTCTCCGCTCAAGAGATGAGAAAACGAAAACAAAAAAATAAAAATCGACTAAAAGTCATTTTTTATTTCTCTCTTATTTTACATTAAATAAAAAAATTATTTTCATTTCTGTTTTTTATCTTTATTGCGTCAAATACCGTTTTGAAAACGTTTTTATTTTTTAAAAAAAAAATTAATAATAAAAACGGGATCAATTTTAAACACGGCTTTTATTTTCGTATTTTTTTCTCAAACCTCCCTCTGCTCCGTATCTCTTTCTACCAATCAGATCGTCATGGACAAAACAAGATACCCAATCTATACATGTCATTTGGGCTGGGGCACAGCCCACGTGAAAGTCCTCAATGACGCTGATGTGCTAATACTACTAAGGTTTACCAAAGAAAGACGAGGGGAAAAAAAAAAGAAGGAATAACTTGAAAAACGGATGGTGTCAACAATTTCTTTGAAAGTTTAACACAACCTCAATCATTTATAATTCTTCGTAAGATATAAAATTTTTAAGGGAAAAATACACAATACAACATATTTTATATCTATATTTAAAGTAAATAGCCTTTTTTTTTATAAAAAAAAAAATGTTAGTAAATTATAGGGTATCTTTAATTTTTATTTTAAAATAAATTATTTTTTACAATTTTACCCTTTCTTTTAGGGTTTTGTTATTTTCTCCCTCACACATCAACCCAGCCGCTGTCTCTCTCTCTGTCTGTCTCTCTCTCTGTATGTTTCTCTCTCTCCCGTTTCTCTCTCCTCTCTCAACGACGATGACAACTTCAACGATCTCAGGCGGCGACTTCTAGATCGCGGTGTTTTCTCGGCAAACGTCGACTTAAAAATACTGGCGACGCCTCTTGAGTTTTCTTCTTAATCATGATGATCGAGCACAACAGCGATGATGATGGTTTGCGCCATGTCGACAAAGGGCCGCCATCAACACCTGAGAACTTTGACTTTTGCTTGGGCAACGAAGTCGACAATGCCATCATCTGCACTATCTCTGGTGGGACCTTGAACCAGATCCGACAGAGAAAATGGCCATGATCTCCAGGAACGTTACTGTCTTTGAGCAAACTTCGTGTCGTGAGTCTTCGATGATCACGAAGCCGAGCGCTCATCTTCTCTGGCGCCGTCAAGAGAAAACATCATCAACCGATCTGTTTTCTCTCTCTTTCTGTCCCAGGTCTCTCCCTCTGTCTCTCTCTCGCTCTATTTCTCTTTACGTTGATGTTGATCTCTGCAAAATTGCTTCCAACTCCGACTGAGTCCGGTGACAATGGAAAAGATCGCCGCCTCGCAATCATTTTTTGGGAACTAGATTTGGCAAGACAAATCTTGCCAAATCGCTGCCTTCAAACCAGACCAAATCCAGTCGACCACCAACCATTTTCTTTTGATTTTAATTTTTGTGTTTGTATATTTTGGGCATTGAATTTTTTCTAAGTAACTTTTTGTTGATTTTGGTTGATTTTTGTGAATTTTGTTTATGACTTTTGAGTTTTGAGTAAATACTTTATTTCCAAGTAAATACATTACTAAATCTAATTTCAAATCTGATAAATACTGTATTTGCTAGTAAATACTTCACTGAATTTGAGTTTGAATATGGTAAATACTGTATTTACCAGTAAATACTTCACTAAATTTGAGTTTGAATATGATAAATATTGTATTTACCAGTAAATACTTCACTAGATTCAAGTTTGAATCTAGTAAATATTGTATTTATCAGTAAATATTTTACTAAATCCAATTCCTAATCTCACAAATATTATATTTATTAGTAAATACGACCAGTAAATATGGTATTTAACGGTCGCCGCAATCGGTAGCTAGATTTTTGAATTAATATGGTATTTATGAGTAAATTTAGTATTTACCGATCATTGATGTTAACGGCCTTATTTTTGAATAAATATGGTAAATATGATATTTACTGGTAAATATTGTATTTACCAATCACCCGAGTTTGTTGTCAAATTTTTAGATAAATATGGTAAATACGGTATTTACCAATCACTCGAGTCTATTCCTGAATTTTTAGATAAATATAGTAAATACAACATTTACTGATAAATACAGTATTTACCTGTTGCCGGAGTTGGTCACCGGATTTTCAGATAAAGATGGTAAATATAGTATTTACTGATTGTCAAATTTTCAAATTAATATGATAAATATATTATTTAATAGTAAATATGGTATTTACCACTTTATTAAAGATGGTTGTCTGAAAATAGTCGCCGAAGAATGACACTGGAGCTAGTCGTCGATCGCCGCAACAGATCATGGTGAACTTAACTATAAGGAGAAGAAAAGAGAAGTGGAAAGGAGGCTTAGAGATATTTTTGAGTTTTTAATAACATTTAAAATATGAAATACCAAATTAGGCTACAATTTACAATTTTAAAAAATATGTTATAATTTACTAAATAACTTAATATTCTAGATTGTTAGACCCAGGCATAGTTTTGTCATTTTATGATTTTCTAATATATACAAAAACATCATTATTTTTGTCCTCCCGAATTTTGGCTATTCATTTTTGTTTCTCCAAAATTCCGATCATTTGCCTCTTTTCTCCCACATGTTCAAATAAAGATGAACCCAAGTGTTTCTTTATCGGAGAGTAATTTGTAAACATATACATCGTTCATTTTATTGATTCGAGTTTTCAGTTTTAGATTTCTACAGTGAAAAGCTATCAGAAAATGTCACATCTAACTTTTCTGCTACAGTGAAAAGCTCTAAAAAAATGTCACATCTCAACTCGAATTGAAAACTTGAATCCGTGAAGTGAACGAGGCCTAATAATACTAGGAAAGTGTCTTCAGTGCGAGAATTGTAATATTTTGTTTTCCTCATTGTAACATTGTTTGTATTCTTGTATAACACTCATTAAATATATTTGTTTGACTGTATTAGAGCATTATATTATATAATAAATTAATAATACAATGTTTAGTATGATAATTATATTGTATAAATTAATATAAATAGTAAATTAATACGGTGTATGTCGTATTATTAAATACAGTTCATTTATTGAATACAGTTCATTTTTAACGTATTGTATTATATTATTTTATAGTGAATTAATAATTCATGCCAGCGTTAAGCACGACTAGAGGTCGGGGTCGAGTTAAGGTCATGCTATAGCCGATAATTGTTGAAAAATTTAGAGGAACAATTCAAATTTTATATTTATCAAAAATTACATTTTAACCCTAAAAGTTTTACAAAATTACAATTTGACCCCAAAACTTTTGTAAAATTACACTTTGACCCTAAAATTTTTATAAAATTTCATTGTGAACCCAAAACATTTAAAAATTATATTTTAACCCTAAAACTTTTTAAAATTATACTTTGACCCTAAAATTATTAAAATTTTACATTTTAATCCCGCATACAATATGTTATAACACTAAACACCGTAGTATATTATGATAATACAACACAATATATACAAACAAAAAAATATTCTCTATGCGCTAACATACCAGTAGGTAGGTTTTATGTCCACCTAATCTGCATAAATCACGTAAAAGTAAAAAATACATAATTTTAATAATTAAAAAAACTTGACCTATCGGTACACCAGACGTACCAGAAAATATCCTAAAAAATATTACACTTGCGGTACGGTCACGGGAATTAAATCATGCCTAAATATTAATTCTAAATAGACATTGCTATTTATGAATTATCGTCAACCAAAAAAATAAATGTATGATAAGGTTTTCATATGTATACATATACATATACATATACATTAGATACACTCATATATATACTCAGAATCGTACGGTAAAAATAAAGAAGCCACATTGGAAAGAAATAGCAAACTTTCTTCCAATCCGTACAACTCATAAGAACCAAAAACAGTAAAAGGAGAAAATAAATGGGAAAAAAAAAACGAAACAAAAAACAAAAAATAAAAAAAGGCCGAGTCACATAAAAAAGTTGTGTGGCCTCGAGTAAGAACACACCACAGACAAAAATCGCTTCGTCACAGAATCCCAACCAATCAAAAATCGACAACGTTTTGGACGAAACCGCTCTGTTTTTCAAATACCGCTCATCTTGTCCATGACCGGTTTTAAACTTTCCTCTATAAATATTATCATCATTACCGCTCAAAATATTTATATCTATACAAATATAACCAAGAAGAAGAAGAAGAAGAAGAAGCGGAAGAATAAAAGGCTGAAATGTATAGCTAGTTATTACATATGTATATATAGCTCGAAGAGAGAGAAAAAATCTGAACGGTTTTTTTCCTGTTCGTTGGTTTCTGTTTCTCTTTCTCGGCGAGGTAAAGTTTCTCGGAAAATCTTGGATTGCTCGGGAAAATTATGGGGAGGGGAAGAGTGCAGCTGAGGAGGATCGAGAACAAGATCAATCGGCAGGTCACATTCTCGAAGCGGCGCTCTGGATTGCTGAAGAAAGCTCACGAGATCTCTGTTCTCTGCGATGCCGAGGTCGCTCTCATCGTCTTCTCGACCAAAGGAAAGCTCTTCGAATACTCGACCAATTCCTGGTACGATGATTGTTTTCGTTTCTTTCTGTGTTTGTTAATTTTATGTTCCATTTTCTCGAGAAAAGTCTACTCATGAAGGTTGATTTCTTCTTCTATTTCTGAGTTTAAGAAGCCGTGTTGCCGGTTTTGTTGATTTCTTCTTTGCCGTGGTGTTTTGCGTGAATTTGCTAACGGTTTTGCCGTTTCGTTTTCGTTCCGTGCTGGTTTGTATTTCATTTTCTCGAGAAAATTCTACTCTTTGTTTTTTTCCCCCCTTTTTTATGTATGTATTCTTTTGTGAATTTTCTGGTTAAGAAGCTGTGTAGCCAGAGTTAGTTGACTTACGAGACATTTGATAACGGATTTATGTCATTATTTGAATCATGATTCAATATCATTATTTAAATCCTGATTCATAATTCGTTACAGTATTTTTTTTATTTTTTATCATAAAAAAATACACATAAATTAAAAATAATTCAAATATTATAATTTTAATCCATAAACTAAACGTCCTTTTAATGATATTTTGCGTGAATAATTTTACGATTTTTTGCGTGAATTTATTTTTTTTCTTTTTTCATTTTATATTATAATTATTGGTCCGTTTAATTCGTTAATTTAAATTTTTAATTTAAATCGTGTAATTTTATGTCAAAATTTTTTATTGTAATAAAAAAATTAAATGAGATTATTTTTAATAATTTTTATTTTAATAAAATTTGAATTTTAAACTCAAATCGGTAAAATAAACAGGCTTTGTTTTATGTATTTTGAAACCGTTAAAAAATGCTATTCTTTTCTTTTTTTTGTGGCCTTATTAATTTGCTAATACTTGTAATGATTTAATGCAGAAAGCGTAGTTTAGTTCGTTATTTGTTTAAAAATAAATAGATATATAGTCAATTAAAAATAAATAGAGTTCGTTTCCAAAAATGGAAAATTTAAAAAAATAGAGAGAATACTATATTAAGGTACATAGAGAGTACTATTTCAAGCGTTTCCCCCGCCAAGTTTAAGCTAACTTCAATATTACAGTTCCCAATACTTGTTTGATATGTAGAATTGTACGATATATGTATATGTATATACACACACAAGTGTATATACATATGTATGTTAATTTTTCTTCTCAATACTTGTTTGATATATAAAGTTATAACATATTTATAGAGACAAATACATACATATAGACTTGTATATATACATATATATATATATATATATATATATTATATATATATATATGCATATTTGTTTATTTATGTATAGATTATTTATGTATAAATATCATATGTATTTGTACTGATGGATGAAAGTTGAACAAAAAGTTCAAGTTTGTAGTTATCTTGGACGAGCTAGATCCGCCCACCCCGCCCGAACTCATCCGCCACATTATGCCACGACACTTACCCGCCAACCCGTGGTTTCAACCTGCCCGCCCGCCGGCTAGTGCGGGCGGTTTGTGCTTTTGCTAATGCATGAATATTATATAAGGTTGGGTTTGTATATTAAGGTACTATTAACTATATTTATTGACTTTCATTGGGTAAAAATTATCAATATGCCTGGGCATGACCATAAATTGTTTGGAATTAGAGATATAAATATTAGGTTAAGATCTAAGTACGTCTTTTGTTGATGGTTTTTTTCTCTTTTTTAACAAGCATGATGAAAAATGAATGGTGTTTGATAATAATATTGTAGTTATTGAATTTCAATGACTAATTAGGTATAATAACAAGAAGTTAAACTCTCTACTCTTATTAAATATTAGTTACCTACATAAAAAAGATATTAAAGAAGATATTAGAAAAATTGGATTAACATACTATAAAAATAATATGTTTGTACAGACAAACAACATTTATGGGAAAGAATGTCTACAACTATACCGTGTAAATAATCTAATGTATTACTTGATAAATTAATATATATATATATATATATATTACATGTATCATGGAATATGATAGGATTAAATAACTCATTATTCATATTAGTCATTTTAAAAAAGATAAGAAAAAACAATTAACTTTTAATTTAAAAAAGCAAAAGGTGCTTTTAATTTCAATTTTTTACACTTTTTATGATTTTTATTTTTGAAAAATTCCAATACACACCTTGGATACCCAAGGCCCAAGTCCCTTTTTGTTTACAAAATAAAGCAAAAATAAAAATCTGGTAATTTTATTCATTGCTATATACTGAAGATTGTTATATATGTACACATAAATTACTATATTGTTTTTGTCTCTTGGAATACTGATGCTTCAAATATTTGAGCATATCAACTTTTTATGCACCGACTGGGAGTGGGGAGTGTACTGTAAATATGTATAATCTCGACTGTTTCGTAGGACATAAAGCAAACATCGCGCAATGTTTTTGGATATGGTAGTACATAAGGAGATGTACACAGATTCAAGGTTTATTAACACATAACAATTATATTTGGTTATTTAACTTCTAATGTTCCCATTTCGTTTTACCAAATAACTTATTGATTTTCCTTCATAAAGGTATATATATCTTCTTTATTCTACAATACTATTTATTGAATTCGATTTTTTGTCCTTTTATTCGTATATTTTTCATCTTATTTCAATAATATTATGTCACGTCAATTAAAATACTACAACTAAAATATCATGACACCTCAAATATTAAAAAAATATGTCACTTAATTATATAGTATGATATTATTGAAGGGAAACAAAATGAGATATAATAAATAAACCCAATCCCTATTTTGTCGCCTTTTAATTTATGGTGGAGTGATATTTGACTCTTTTCCATATTTAGGGCTTGTTCTTTTGGAGTTTAACTTGAGTATAATTCTTGAGTTGAATTTGAGTTATAACTTGAGTTGGACTTGTAACTTGAGTTTGTGTTTGATTGTATACATTTGAGTTATGGTTTGAGATAATAATCTTTTTGAGTTTGTGTTTGAGTGAGTCAAGACTTGAATTTGTATTTAGATAGTATTTTAATAAAAACTCAATGCTGATGAAAAATTTTAATAGGGTATATGGGTCAGGTTTTATTCGTCTTTTCGTTGTCAATGCATAGAAAAAAAAATCATCTCAATCAGAATTAAAACGAAAAAGTTATAGCATTTTTAAGAATAGAAAAAATACTGTTAATTAATTTGAGTTCGAGTTTCTGAACTTGAGTTGAAGGGAAAACTTGAACTCGAGTTTTAGTCCTAAACTTGAATTTGAACTCGAGTTTAAACTCGAGTTTAAACTTAAAAGAACATGAACTCGAATAAAGTTGTAACTCGAATTATTTTTTTTTAAGTTTTTTACTCAAAAGAACAAGCCCTTAATCTTCGGATAAGATTAACTTCTCAATGAAAAGTAACTCTTTAGTCCTTTCTGTCCCCCTTATTGATTATTTGAAATATTTGCCTAATGTTTAACTTGTCTATGTTCTGTTAAACGTATCAATTTTGTGTTTACGTATACACTCTACACTTGAAATACATTGCGTTATATATTTCTGAAACAATGTTATGTTTTGTTTTCCAAATGAAACGGATTCTGAAGATTCTAATCAACATATTAGAAGATCAATCTTTTCACTTCATTAACTGTTAAAATCAGAAAAAAAATAAATAAAAACCTTAGAGCAAGCAATCCTGAATTAACTAATACCGTAGCATAATTAGAGTAATGGACCATTAGTTTCGAAAATTAACGAATATTTTGCAATTTTGTTTAGAGAAGATGTAATAATTTTAGGGGAAGAAAAATCTTTTCAATGTTCAACATGTTTTACTATTTAATTATAAAGAAAGATGGAAGAAAGAAAAATAAGGATTATGTTCCACTCCTTTATTTACTGTGATTGGTAAACGTACGTGGTATTGTCAATCCGCGTGTTTTTGATTTCTCTTGTTTAAATAAAAGTAACTAAATAGTAAAACGTTTTAAAGTCATCATTCACCATTAGTTATTGCTACGTATGAAGACAGGGTTTTCTTTCTTGCTTTCTCTGCCTCTATCTCTTAGTGTGGCTAGGGTTTTCTTTTGATTTTATTGCTTAGGGCCGGGATCCAGTGGCACCGCTGGCTGGTCGCCAGACTTTCGTACCTTGAGACGGTGGCTGGGTCTTGCGTGGTATGGTTTGTGGCTATAGGTGTGGTATGACGGTGGTGGATTGGCGGAGATCTTGCGTTTTGAGGGAGTTTGTTGGCGCTTTTGCTTCGGGTTCGCGTCCCCTTCTTTGATGTGGTTTTAGGGAGGGGCGGCGTGCGCTGTTGTGGAGTGACAGATGCTAAGGTTAGAGGTTGATGGCTTCTGGTGGTGTGAGGCACGAGATTTTTCAGGCGGGACTGTGGCGTGGGGGCTCTGTTCCCCGTGGTACAGCACTTTTTGGGAGCTCTTACGTGTGGAATCATTGTCGGCACTGTTGCTCCTTCGGTAGTGGCTCTTCTCAAATCTGGCTCTTGTGTCATGGTGGCCGTTTTGGTCCATTTTTTTGTAGTGTTTGTTTGGTTTCATTAAAGGCGTTGATGTTTCCGCGTTTAATGTTAGTGTATTCACGATTTTTGGTTGGTTTAAAAATTTGTTGTAATAACAGAGGTGGTCTCCCCACCTTACGCGTTATTGTTGTGTTTAGTCTGCAAGTTATGGTTCTTTGTGGTGTTGTGGTAGGCCTTAGTACTTTTGGTCCCTCGACTTCGATTGACCAGAGTTATCCACCGGCTTTTGCGGTGCTTGTGGCGTGTTTGAAGAGCTAAATTTGTGCTCGATTCATTATGTCCCTCATTGGTTCCTTTTGTTGGAACTCGGTACATATGTTATCTTCTAGATAGTTTCAATTGAACCTCATGTGGTCAGTATTGAGTCGCTAAATGCATTTAGGTCTTACGTGCTTGGATTAGTGATTGTATTTTTTGATTTGAAATTCTCTAGTATGCCTGGCGTACCGTTAGACTAGATTTTTTTAACATTTGAATCTGCGTAGTTTTTAACTTTTACATGATTTTATACAATTTTGACGAACATAAAATC